AACAGAATTCATGATTCCCTTACCACTGGCACCCACCAAAAAAACTAATTTAACTGACTATCAAATAAGTAATATAAGTCGATAATAATAATAACTAAGTCTAAGGATTCCAGTCAATATGAAAACGATCATAATATAGTTTAAACAGTTCCCTCCTGAACGATGGAAGAGATTCTAGGGAGCAAACTGTATATGGCAAAAAATTCCATGATCTTGTAATTCTAACAAAATATGAATGTTTAAAAACATCAGTACGGGCAAATGGAACAGTCAACTTGAGATCATCGGTAGTTCGTAGGCACCGACCAGTAACAGACCACTCAAATAAATCCGAAGGTATTTGTACTTGACCATGTATTGCTTTAAAGCAAAATACCAAATCTGCTATCTCTCTACGCATACATAGTGGCAATAAATGAGGTTTTATTAACCTGTCCTTGTATTCAATGTTATTACTGAGAATAATACGCGAAGCTCGTCGCTGAACTTGTTCAAGTTTGGTAATATATGTTGCGTTTCTTGTACGGTGACCATACTTGGCTGGCATATTCCATTGTTGATCTAACCCACGTTATGTATAGTAAACGTTTCACAGAAGGGTCATCCATTTCTCTTGTTGAACGGTATAGAAGTCCCAACATTTTTTGTGCTTTGGCAGCAATGTTATCAACATGGTCGTTCCAACCAAGATTACTGTGTAGCCAAACTCCTAGATCTTTTTCGGATTCTACGATGTTAAGAGATTCGGCCCCTAAAGTATACCCTCGATCAAAAACAGTATGAGTACGGGCCACTCTCAAAATTTTACATTTGCTTATATTAAAGTTTATTCCCCAAGTAATGGACCAGTCATATAGAGCATCAAGATCTGCTTGTAGTTTATTCTGGTCTGCACTCCCGAAAATAAATCGGAAGCATTTGGAATCATCGGCAAAAAGGGGTAAGTATGCTCCATCATTAATAACATCTGGCATATCGTTTATATATATTACAAAAAGGAGCGGTCCCAAGACCGATCCTTGGGCACTCCTGATGTCATTGGAAGCCACTCTGAAGTATGACCAGCAAGGACAACACGATGACGTCTGTCTGAAAGGTAACTGCGGAACCATGACAGTAATGGATCCCGAATCCCAATAGCATGGAGCTTGTGGAGACGTTTATCATGCGGTACTCTATCAAACGCCTTCGAAAAATCCAAATAAACTAAGTCAACCTGTTGCTTTTTGTCAAGGGCGCTAGAAAGTAAATGAACAACTTGAAGTAGCTGGGTAACGGTGGAACGGCCAGGAAAGAAGCCATGTTGCCAAGGGGTTAGCTTTGGTGAAACAAAGTCAAACAATCTACCAAAAACACCTTTTTCAAGGACTTTTGACAGTTGATCGAGCAACGAAATTCCTCTATAGTTAGAGACAATTGACTTTCTTTCAGCCTTATGTATCGGGACAAGATTAGCATCTTTCCACTGATTTGGAAAAACACCAGTACTAAGTGACTTGTTGAATAAAGTAGTTACTGGTACAGTAATTTCTTCAGAGCATTCTTTAAGAAGCCGTGAAGGGAAACCAAAGCTAGCCTTGTTTACGTCAAGATACCGAAGAGCTTTGTTGACGAAATCCCTCTCAATGACAATATCAGATAATACACCATGTGTGGTATAGCTCAGAGTAGGCAGAGGTACAACAAATTCACCAGCAACTGGGGTATTAAATACGGAATGAAAATAATTATTAAATAAATTGCCTTAAAACGTGGCTCACTCGCTGAGATGTCATGATGAGAAACAACGTTAGGTATTCTGCTAGATTTGTTGATGACTTTGTAGTACGACCAAAATCGTTTCGGATTATCTTTAAGTGATTGACCCAAATTGGTAATATTTTGGTGATTGACCCAAATTGGTTATATTTAAATGCAGATTCTATCTGCCCAAAAAATGTTTGTTATCGCTGTATTATGCCTTAGTCTATCCTTATTTACATTACTGCAATCTAGTATGGGGGTCATCGTATGTAACAAATTTGCATATATTGGCTGATCCTCATACAAAAGAGAGTTGTACGATCTATTGCTAAAGCAGAATATCTTGCTCCATCTGAACCAATATTTAAGGAACTTAAAATTCTAAAAGTTATGGAAATTAATTCATTACGAGAAGGTACATTCATGTTCTCGTACTGTAATAATTTGTTACCACGCAGTTATGATAACCTCTTTGTCTCGGGCTCACAAATTCATCATTATAATATACTAGAACTGCTCAAAATCCGCGTCCGTATCGATGTCGTACAACTCTAAAATCACAAACAATAACTTACCATGGTCCTGTTTATTTGAATTTCTTAAATGATAACATAAAAATGTTACCAAACCTTTTGCAGTTCAAATTCAAACTGAAAGAATCTTTACTGCAAGACTATTTATACTAATGTATTTACTATGCTTACTTATGTATATCTCATAAATACCTTCACAATATCCCATAATTTAAATATTGACTTATAAGTTATAATCATTTTTTTAGTTTTTTCTCTATAATGTCCTCTTGTCATATATTGAAAATAATGATATATTATATCGAGGAGTCCAATATTTATAAGCCGTTGGCTTCTGTTTTAGACTTCCTCGTCACATACATATTATAGGATCTACTAATAACCTCTCATATTCAAAATAGTTTGGAGAACCCTATATTATGATGTAAATATTTAATCTTGTAAAAAATGTGTGACAAATTCAATTCAATTCAATTCAATTCAATTTCCTTCATGAATTATTAATGAGCATTTTAAATATATTTAACAAATCCAAACAAAGCAAGTGGTTAATTATAAGTTTTGAAACTTTATTGTTTAGAAGCTCGATAATACAGAATTGTACAAAGTTAATAAGATTAAAATTCATTATATAAAAGAAATATATGTTTTGGTCTATATTTAATGTTTAAAAATTGTTATTTTAAAAAACCAAACAATCCTTTAAATAAAATGTTTAACTATAGCTACTAGTACGTACACTCTGGCAATTTCTGTATCAATATCTATGCCTGTTTCTTTAACATTGCATTGAAGACATTGTTTCTTTCACGTTATTCTCGATTCTCGAAGGCATAGGAGAGCAGATCTAATGATCGAAAATTATATCTTTGCTCTTATCCAAGCCATTATCTTTGAATTATTAACGAGTATTTTAAATATGTTTAACAAATCCAGACGAAGTAAGTGGTTAATTATAGTTTGTTTAACCATATGAGTCTCGGTTGTGAAGATGAAGACACAGTGAATCTACAGCGCTGTTTCCACAGGGGGACCGGCTAACAGCTGTGTTATGAATATGAATAAGACATCATATGAAACGTAATATGAATAAAACATAATTAAACATAATATTTAACAATTGTTGAATGAGGTTGAGCATGATATGAAGAATTATCAAGCCCTCAGTTTGCCGTTATCAACAGAAGCCGAAGGCTGAGGTTGATAACGGCAAACTGAGGGCTTGATGATTCTTCATACTGTGCAAAAACCGAATTCAATAATTGTTAAATATTACGTTTAAACTTATGTTTTATTCATATTACGTTTAATATGATTTATTATTTATTTAAAAAATTTAAAACAAGCGGAAGCCATTTGTATTTTATTTGTATTAAGAAAAAACAATTCCTTAGTCCTTTGGCAGCCGTCGTCATCGTCATATTAATGGCGTCAGCGAGTCAATATGATTCTCGTCGTCATAGTAATATGGCGCAAGCGCGTCCAAATTCTTTTCATATTGACTCTTTGACGTCGTCTTGCTATTATGAATGTGAAAAATCCATATTTTGTTAGCCATTGAGTTGATATGACAATTTAACAGTTGGCTGTTAGCCAATCAGAAACCAGGAATTTTTTTAATAAGCAATAAATTCAAATTATTGCACTTACTTTTATAAATCACAAGAGCTTGCATTTACAGTGAAAAGCTTCAAACATTGCTTCAATTAAACGACGATTCACAATCGAAAATATTACATGGCGTTCCAACGAAAATAACAGCAAGGATTGCGGGCGCGCGAGCGAAAAGGGCTTGCGGGCGCGCGGTGAGAAAGGCGAGGAGAGAAAAAGATAGAGGGTTTGAAACACCGGTAATGCGATCGTTTGGTGTATTCCATAAGTAGCCTCTTCTCTCGGAAAATTCCGATCATTCACCGGAAACGCATCCTGCCAACTCCAACAACGCATGCGCCCTTAATTAATGAAAATAAACAATGTTAGCTACATGAAATATTTAAATGAAGCGACCAACGTTTGTTTTTTTTACAAAAGCAAAGTAAAATTTACAACTGCTGAGTGTGGCGATACAGATACCGCTTGAAAGTATTCCTACTAACGCCAATAAAAGTATATTTTCAATTGCACGCAGGTACGTAATGTTTTCTTATAAATATTTACAGATGGCATAGGCTTTATTAAATTTAAATAAAATACGTAAGACATTGGAAACTTACCTGTAAAGAACAAGGTTCGTTCACTTCGTTGACTGCTGAGTGTACAATATTAATTTAGGCCACTATTTTTGAATATATTCAAATATTTTGTCTGCCTTGGGGCAATGTAATTTTGAGACGTATAGATACAGTTAGTCGAACTTGACAAGCATCTATTATCCGTCTAGTTATATTCATGCGTTAAAACTGCGTTGTTCAAAGCTGGGTTAGAGGTGCGGTTAACTAACGGGTTAGAGGTGCAGTTAGTTAACCCAGGGTTAAGACATTTAACCAAGGTTAAATTTGTTTTAAAAATAAATGTAATATAAGAACGTTTTTAATTGGCTGGCGCGGTGTCAAAACTAGAGATAGAATGGGATAGATGGGAGAAATATTGTTTAATTAACTAGCCAACAGAAATTGGACATTTCAGACGTAGATTTAAGCATTCTGAAAGTTTCAAGAAAAATATAAATTTAAATAAATCAATTTTGGAATTTTAGGCAGTGCTTGAATAATTAAATTTGAGAACAAAATCAGAGCCAATCAAATGGACTTCGAATTATTTTGGAGTTGAAAATCAATTTTCAACGCATGTGTGTTTATTCTATAAAAGTATAAAACAGAACACGAAAACAAAAAAAGAAGAAGCAAAGTTGTTTTAATATAGCTTTCAAAAACAGTGTTTTTACTAGTAGGTAATACACTGCGCTGAAAACAGTAGATGTGCAAGAACTTGTGACTGTTCAACAAATGGCAAGTGGAAACTTTGTGAAACAGGTGGTGGTATGGCGAATTGTTTGGCAATACAAGTACTTTTTCTTGAGTTATTTTTTGAAGAAACTTGAGTTGAATGCTCGGCTTTAATAAAACTACAGTCTACAGTTTTGGGGCGGCAATCGACAAAGATCTTGCGAAGTAAATCCTTTTATATATTGTACACTGTACACAATCTTGATTACGGCATTTGTGTACCAAACTATATTTTGAAAATCGGCAGATGGCAGACGTAGTTCAGCGTTGCTTTTGGCAACTAAGGTACTTTTCCACAGTATTAAAACATAATAAAACAGTAAATCGTGATGTCCATGCTTAGACCATAGGTATAGCACCCCAAAATGGACAGAAAGTTGCCGTATCTTTTACTTTAGCTCGTATATAAATTCAAAGCAGACTTGTAGCTATAAAATCGTTTCAAAGGCTCATGCGCGACAAATTAGAATCTTAATAGCATTTATAGACTTAGATTTACTTTTTGAGGTTGATTTTCCTCCATAAAATCTTTGTACACTGTTTGTTTCACCAAGAATTTTACTTGTTTTCTTTTTTCACTCCTTCGACGTCCATTTTGAATACGAGTTAACCGGCCGATTAGCAAGTTAACCCACCTAGCGAGGAGGGTTAAATTTAGCCGTTGTTTTAACCGAGGGTTAAGGATAGCCTAGCTTTGAACAACGCAAGGTAACCTAGGGTTAAAATTTAACCCTACGTTAAGCAAATTTAACCCTAGCTAGGTTAGCGTTAATCGGCTTTTGAACAACCGGCCCCAGCGCTTTTCTACTAATGACTAGGCTTGTTCATGTAAGTGAACATCGACTAAGCCCTAAAAATACTACAAAAAGATTAAACGGATAGTCTAGAAGCATTTAAAAAGTCACGTGATATTTGTTTCAACCCTTCTATTTTTTTCTCCCTTCGGCTTTCCCACCGCGCGCCCGCAAGCCCTTTCCGTTCGCTCGCCCGCAATCCTCCTTGCTGTTATTTTCGTTGGAACGCCAATAATTACGCCATGTAATAATTTTGTTTTGTCAATTGATTCGCCATATATGAACAATAATAAACTATGTAGTGAATCATCGTTCGAAGCAATGTTTCAAGGTATTCACCGTAAATGCAAGCTCTTATGATTTATACAAGTAAGTGCAATATAATTTGAGTATATTACGTTATGATGTTTTATTCATATTACGTTTAATAATTATGATGTTTTATTCATATTCATAACACAGCTCTTAGTTGGTCCCCCTGTGCTGTTTCATGTAAAATCTATGCCGTTTGCGTTAATTTAGTAACATTATTATTTAGTGATATTTAATTGGTAGGATTATCCATGCATGCATGTATTTTTGAAAATTCCTTTTTCTTATGTTTAAATTGCTCCAGATTTTAATATTAACAACCTTGGTGACCGAAGAGGAGAATTGGAGGAACGATGTATAGCTATTTATAA